AATGGCTGCATGGCTGCAATATAACAAAGAGTGAAAAATTTAAGGGGGTGTGTATACTTTCCATACACACTATATATATATATATATATATATATACACAGCAGACTACTGAAAACACCCAAGAGATGGAGAAATATGAATGAGAACATCCAAACATACTCACACACACAGAAAAAAAACACTTTTGAGTGGCAGATTTGGCGAAATACTTACATATGATTTACTATCTAGCCTCTGCACAAAGACACACACATCTGGACCACATGTTATGCAAACAAATAGGCAAATGTTTAAATTGAAGGGTGGGACTTACGACTGGGCCCGTGGATTTTGATTGGCTCATTGGAATTAACCAGCTTGAGGGAACACTGCTGACAGACACATTCTTTACCACTGAACGTCACTCTGTCCCCAATTGGAAAAGGTTTCCTAGAGAGGGAAAGACAGACAGACAGATAGACAACATGTTATTAAACTTAGCACACATGTATAAGTAAACCAAAGCCTAAAATTTGTCCAAATAAAAAACGATCCACTCAAATAAATCCGTAATGCTTACAGAGAAGACTAAATTACATGGTAGAGAAAACTGTTGGCAGGTCCTCACAATGAAGGCAATCCTGACCTACACACACTCAACTAAATATCTAATACTGTTTAGGTTTCAGTATTTTAAATTGTAATACTACTCTTTTTACTGTATTTTGATCAAATTAATGCAGCCATGGTGAGCATAAAAGATCGTTTGAAAAACGTTTAAAAAATCTTACTGACACCAAATGTTTGTACTGTAGCGTAAATACCTTGTAATGAAAAATCTGTACGTTCACTGACAAGTATGGTAATGGGAGCCAATTGTATAAGGATTTAACTCAAGGCACAACAGCAGGAGTTTTGTGAGAGGAGGCCCGACAGGGTTCAAGTAACATTTAACCCCAAATAGAGTTGAGGAATGCCGCATTGCCCACAAGCATTATGGCCCAGCTCTACCTAAGCAGAGCTTCCCTTCAGACACACTGGCACTGAAGACACAAACACCACTGAAATAAAGGGACAAAGTGACTCACATCACATAATGACTTAACATTTTTGAGTGATGCGGATAATAAAGGCTAAGGTGGACAAGGTGGGATCTCTCTTCATATTAGTTAGGCTGGAACAACATAGCTTTTCAACCTGGCCCTGCATGGAAATTGGTCTTTAGGCTATTCCTCACCATTATAGTCAAATCCTGTACCAAAGGCCATGTTATTTATGTAGATAAATGTATGTGTCTCTTCAGCACACATGCCCACGTCTCATGACAGCTCGCGTAATCCATTGTGTCCACACCACTGCTTTATCTTCTAAGTAATCAGCATGACTGGAAGCTTCTACACCAGGAGACAAATCCTATTACAGTAGTCTATTCCTCTACTAATGCAGCAATTATAAAACAATCCATTTACATTGAACCATGACCTTAGAGGAGCACCGGCTCTGCCACTTTACAAGATTACAGAACAGGTCCTTTAAAAACAGATCATACATTATTTCTGTCACTGTTAATATTGATCAGTTTTAACTTAGAAAGGACATTTATAGAGAAATGTCACACTTTTGCACATACACACACGCACACCAACACGCTATTCACTGGGCTATGTGAAGTATGGCATGACAAACTCCTCCACAATTGAGACCACACACAAAGATGTTTTTGAAATCGAGAGTGAAGGATGACAGGGTAAGTGGGCAGACAACAGAAGCACTTACAAAGCCCGTGTCAGACACATGGGTGGAATAATTCCTTTAGTTTCTCCATTGTTTCAGTATAGCTGGTGCCAATGAGAGAAGGATCTCTGGATCTAATCTTACTTTCTCATATCCTTTATTTCCCTCTGTGTTTTATTCCTCTTTCACACAACCTACTTTATTCTATATTTATATGTGAAAACTGTGTGGGTTCCCTCATGAGGCTCTGTGCGTGTCTTTCCATGCAGTCTTTACGTGACCTTGGCATTACCGCCACATAACACTCCCTCCAGACACACACAGCACTGTCAGCTTTTCCTGCTCTTTAAAAATTTACAGTTTTTTTGTTTTGCTGCATTTATTTTGTTCATGAACACAATCTTGCAACTCTTTCAGGACATCAAAATTAGCCTGTGCCATCTACTTTAAGAATAGATGAAATCTTAATCAATATTTTTTGTACTGATAACAAGAAAAAAAACTATAAAAAATAAATAACAAATAAGACACATTTAAATAAGGAAGAAAATTGCTTAAGATAATATTTTTTCAGACAACATATATTAAATTGAAGCTTCCCATTTTATGTTTGTACATGTACAGTATGTACACACACAGGCACACACACACACATTTTTGACTGGTAATATACTACATTTATACATATTAAATACATATAACTTTATTTATACAACATCATTTTTTTTTACATTTTGGCCATTAAATATATCATAATATAAAGGAACGGCACCTTGAATTTTTTGCAGCCTAAATAAATAAAGCTCTTTATCTCAGTGAATTGCAACAGTTCCTCAAAATATCAATTAAAGGTCCAGAATGCTGTACAGAAATATGAGTTGTACCAAAGTATACAATAAATTCCTAAGGGCTGTAACATTATGAATAATCATTGACAGTGCAACTGGGATGATAGCCCACTAAAACTAGAGCACGGTCTCCACACAGATGGTCTAAATATTAAATGTAACATAATCTAGCTCTCCTGTTGACTGTTTACTTCTTGGCCAGGCCGAAAAATGTTTAGGTTACTCCTGCCAAGAGCATCCCATTGGGCCATTTAGTAGCCCAATTGACAATGCAGTCCAACAAAGCAATCCCAGTCCTCCATGAAAATGCCTTTTCCTACCCACATAAATTCATCAATCGCTAACTCTCTTTCGGAGTAGTAATGAACTAAAGGAGGAGGGGCAAGTTATTTAGTGGAACTAATTTCCTTTAGATCAGAGCAGAGCAAACACACTGTAATTAATTACAAATGGGATATAACAGAGACACATTAGCAGCTAAACTCACAGCACCACAGTCCAGTAAAGTGTCCACACAAGCTTAACAAAAAGAGAGAAAAAGCATTTAAGAGAGAAGAGTGTGCACAGGCAATGTAAAATTCACATGACTGCCAATGTGAATACTAAAGTGGTAAATGTAGAAAATATCCAGTTGCATTAAACCCATTTTTTACTACAAAAAGAAATGGGATTCAAATAACAGTGTTTCAGTGTTGGGCAGACAGATAATGTGTCCCTGCAGGGATGTCTTGCAGTACCTCTCATTTTCTTGCATGTGAGTCTGAGAATAGGCCACATATAAAAGACAAGAGATGGTGTTTTCCACCTCTGCCTTTAACTTCTTAATTTGCTCCTTTTGGTCTGAGGCAGATATTCACCTCTAGCCTCGGCTACTTCTCCATTTACACTTTTCTTCCCTTCTCTGCTTACTTTCTGGGCATTATTGCATATTTTGAGCTCAAAACCTCAGCTTTCTTCCGCCTTGACTCATGTTACAATATCCTGCTCAGTTCTGCATTGATCGCTCCTTCTCTATTATACTCTCTAGGGCAATTCAGTCAAGAGAAAAGAATAGAAGATGCTTACACACGGGTCCAAAATAAACACCCGTCAAGCGGCAAATTCAAGTAAAAATTGGTTTTGACGAGTACATTAAAGTTATTAAATGAAACACTATGCACTATGAATGCACTAAATCACAAGAATTAGCCTATAGTTTGAACCTGCTGTTTTAATATCTGAACTAAACAACATGAGTAAATCAAATTAAAGAGATACACATGATCTGCTAAAGATAAAACTATCTATCATCTATCTACCTATCATTTGATATATACCAGTTTACGGCTGGCAAGACTTTATGGTAAGTAGGTTTTCTCTCAATATTGGCAGGTTAATTACTTTTTATAACTAATTTGTAATTTTGGGCATATGGGTGGACATCAACCCTGACAGTGTATGTCTGCAGAAGATTTTATTTATAAAACACTGCCCTACTTGCCCTGCTTTAAGGTCAGGATTGATAAGAGAGAATGTGGCACAAGAAGTCAGACTTTACTTTTGCCTTCCCATTTTCAACATGTGGTCCACCAAATCCTTTAAATTCAGTTAAACTGAAGATATTCCTTAAGCCAAAACCTTTTCATCCATCACAGACACTGAATTTCTTTCAAAGACAATTATATAAATGTCAGCGGTCTTGGAACGTCACTTGGCTGATCAAATTAGAAGACTGGAACTAACTATTGGTTAATTGCTCAGTATATAGATGAGTGGGGGAGCATATAGCTGTCAGGAAGTGAATTAATGAGATTCAGTCATCAGCACATTAGTAAATGAGCATCATTTACCAGCATCCCACCAGCACTCCCTCACGCTTAATCTGTCTGATGGGTCTATTTCCATAATGCCACTTTAGTAGTCTGTATAGAGGGCTCACCTGCACACACTGCACACAAAACACTGTGGATGATATGTGCGGCCCAGGGCAGAGACCACCTCCCCTGAGATAAAGTCCCCACAGCTGTCACACTTTGTGCCATACAGGCGCTGGTAGTCTGCTGTGCAGATGTACTCGCCACTCTTCTGGAAGAATCCGGAATGTGCCAAATCACAGCCACACACTGGCAGAAAGACAGAGAGAGAGAGAGAGAGAGAGACAGGAAGAGAAATCAACATGATGAGATTATTTTGCCATTTTATTTATAGTACAGGAAATGACAGGGAGGGAAAAAAAGGATTGGGATCAAGGAATGTTGCAAGCCAGGATTGAACTTGTGATGTCTATATGAGCACCATGGCTCAACATGTAGTAATAAGGCTTGCATTCAAGATGAGATTTCAAGATGATTTTCAAACAGATGTAACAATAAACAGCTACAAACGCTTTCAGTTTGAAATGTCTTTGGTATGCTGATCATAAAATTACAAGTGACACATAAACAGCCATTTTTAAATGTCAGTGTTTGTTGAGGGTAATACAGAGCAATGTTATGATAGTTAATTAAAACTAAAACCATAAAAGAGTTTTTGTCACTTGAAATGAAATAGACTTGAACTGAAATTAAATAAATTATTTAAATAAAAAAATAAGCTTATTTTATTTAAGCGACAGTAGTTGACACAATTTGATCAAGCAAAATTTGTCATTTTTATTTAGTTTACCTTGATGTACTAAAATAACTAAATTTGAAACTGAAATAAAATGTTAACGAAAACTATATATATACATATTTTAAAAAGCATTATTAAAAACATAAAAAAATGAAAACAAGGAATAGAATATTTGAGTCTACTAATATTAAAGCAAACAACCTCTTAAAATCACACCCCACATAAATTAGATCCAGCAAGATGGTCATGGAATGAGGATCTGCTTGGCTTCCTGCAGTACTTAAAAGTAATCTGAGGATAATTCTATTAGAACAAAAGAGGAAAAGCACTGCCTGAGCATTTTATTTCAGCTGGGCCAATAAAGTGTCACAGCAACAAACATCAAACACACCACAAAGCAATATGGCAATGCCTTTAGCTTCCTCAGATTCATGGCCACACTGGAAATCTGGAATTGGAAAGTAAATCTTAAAAATATTTGTTTAGAACTTTGGAAAAAAAAATAGAACAAAGAAAGCCATGATATAAAACAAATCAGAAAAATACAAGATTCTATTTGTAGCTCTCTAATCAAATAAGCACATTTGTGACGCTGATCACGTGACCTTTGTACAGATGGTCAGATGTTCTTACTTCCACTGAAGATCAAGACACTGAGTTGAACATGATCATCAGGTTTTACACTAAGATCTGGAGTTCATGCAGCTCAAGTACTGCTGGCATTAAAGCAAATGGAGGACAAAGTACTGCATTCTGAAATGTATGTACATTTTAGTTGAAGTTTCAATCCAATTGTTGTTTGATTGCTGATTATATCATTTGTAATGAAAAACTGAATTCAATTAGACATAGGGGGAAAAAAACAATCGGTCCCTCATTGTCTATGAGGCACAAATGTGGAGATGACACAAAGCACAAAGTGAGAGAGAGGATTGATTGCATAATCTGAACTAAAGATGGCTTGGGTGCTTGCTGACGTACTCACTTACAGGAAGTGCTGCATTACGAGGAGCAGTGTGAAAATTATGAGACAACAGCCACATAGGTTCTCCAACTTAATTACAAACTATAGACTGTCACTGTACATGTACTGTAGTGTCATCCATGGGGTAGCATCGACTGCTAAACAGGTATCATGACAGTAAAAACACATGGATTATGCTACGCAGTAGTACAGTAAATGCTCTGCGGTAAACAAAAAAAGGTGCTGGCATCATTATTACAGCTAATTTAATCTACTAAACTCAAACTGAAGCTATAAATCTTTTACAATGTAGGGATTTTCATGCCTCCCAGAGGATTCCTTTCAGGTTTTCCTAATAATGAGGTGGTAATGGGAAATGGATTGTACTTTGAAGAACATCTTCCTGAGGAAGCATGGGTGAATACACTTAAACATACATGCAAACTAACAAAATAAAAACATTCAACAATAAATGAAAAGGGACAAAATGATGCTGGCTTGTGAAAAACTTGATTATTTATTTTTATTTATTATTTTTTTTAAGCAAGTAAATATTGTGGATACTTTTATATTGGTGCATAGAAAATAAAATCTTTTAAATATTCTTGTATTTACTTAAAAATAATGAAAAACTGTGAAATATAAGTGAAAAACGTGCTGTTTTTGAGGTTTTTAACTGCAATAAGGGCTGTTAGAATGATGGTTTTTCTTACTGAAAAGAAAAAAAATATCCAATATATAATAGAAATATTATGTGAGAAACTTGTTTAAAAATGAAGACCACTTATTAAAGTACCACAGTAGTAACATTGTACAGTGATAATATCAGATGACAATACTGAATGATTACCATATTCAAATATTTACGTGCATTTACGTGATACATAAAAAAAGTATGAAATTTTGGTACATGTCCAAAGCACTATGACAATACAATTTTGTACTACTGACACATATTAGGTGAGATTACCTTTGGTTTTAAGCCTCTTACATTGTTACAGATATACGTAACTCTTTAACAAACTGAACCCCGTGTGAGATGTGACACTGCTGCATGCAGCATGACCGTTCCAGCATGCATGCCAGAGATCTCCCAGATCTCAGCAGGAATCATATGGCATACTGATACTACATTATACACACACATGTGCACACACACAATATCCAATATATAATAGAAATATTATGTGAGAAACTTGTTTAAAAATGAAGACCACTTATTAAAGTACCACAGTAGTAACATTGTACAGTGATAATATCAGATGACAATACTGAATGATTACCATATTCAAATATTTACGTGCATTTACGTGATACATAAAAAAAAGTATGAAATTTTGGTACATGTCCAAAGCACTATGACAATACAATTTTGTACTACTGACACATATTAGGTGAGATTACCTTTGGTTTTAAGCCTCTTACATTGTGACAGATATACGTAACTCTTTAACAAACTGAACCCCGTGTGAGATGTGACACTGCTGCATGCAGCATGACCGTTCCAGCATGCATGCCAGAGATCTCCCAGATCTCAGCAGGAATCATATGGCATACTGATACTACATTATACACACACATGTGCACACACACACACACACACACACACACACACACACACAGTCTTCCCAGCCCTTAGCATCCATCATCCTTACAATGACAGCTGTTATTGGCTCGTGGAATTGGCAATGATTGCCTTTTGCAAAATGTGTCACTGTACTGTAAATCATTCATTCAAAGTCAAGCATCCTCCTAAGTCATTCGCATGTCCTGAATTCTAAGGAGAAAGGAAAGAAATAAGTACTTCTGCTGAGAAACTCAGAAAGACCATTAGGAGAAGTAACGGTAAATTAGGGGATGAAATCTGATACTCGCTGATTATGATAACACCTCTGTGATTCTCATTGGTTGGCTTCTGACTGATAGAAACCATAAGAATGCACGAGTGAAAAGAGTTTCTCAGTGCGCTCATCTGTCCTGATGCTATCACAATGTCACTGAACTGCTGCTGTGACTATGAATAGCTACTCTTGGCAATATATCAAAAATTCACAATATATTTGCATTGCAATGATTTTGCTGGTAATATAAAAATTTACAACAATCTTCCACATGGACATTAATTTTCCTAAAACCCGTGTCATTAAACCCTTCACGACCTTTCCTTTGGCATGTGAGTATGTCAGAATTAAGACATCTTAATATCTCTGATTTAAACAGTGACAAAAACAGTGTTAGATTTGGTCATTGATTAATTTCCCTGAATCAGTAAAATTTTTCCAAAGAACCAATTAAATTAATTTGTTTACTGAAAAATGTTCACAGAAATGGAAACACCTTTTCATAATTTATTTAACCTTTATTTTTATTAATATGATTGGCTCTATATATATATATATATAATAACAGCAAATATTGTTTCCCAAGATACAACCAATATCTTAAGAAATAGCAGAGATCACTCACAGATTTCTGTTGGCAGAACATCTTTATGGTTAACCAATAGTGTTGCACTGGCACTGCAGGCAGCAATCTGAAGACAGGTCTGTCTAAACACTTGAAAAGTTCAATGGTTTAATGATCACGGATGAAAATGCTTATAATGTTAAATTATAGATTGCCATATACTGTGATTATGTGTATATTTTAGGTCATAAAAAGAATATTACTAGTGAATGAAAACCTTAACTCTATAAAGGAATAGGCCTATGTGAATCAAGGCACAATGAATGAATGAAAGAGGCCAAAAGACTTATCAGAAAAGTTATATTGCCAGTAGGCACTAAAGACTGCTGTGAAATCTTCACTGTGGGCCAGCAGCTTCAACAGAACTGGGATTTCTACAGAAATCTGGAGTCTTTGGCAGTGTAACCACATGTGCAGGGAAATTATAGCCCTGCTGTGAATGTCTCTCTGTGTGTGTGTGTGTGTGTGTGTGTGTGTGTGTGTGTGTGTGTATAAGATAGACACTGTGCCAGACAGCCGCATTTCAGACAACCACAAAACAATGGCATGTTGCTTTCAAATGGCCCAACTGGATTGAAACCCTGCAATAAAAGAGAAAATTCTAGAACACATTACATTTGAAGCTTAATGGAAAATTTAAAAAAAACAAACTCTCAAGGCCTTTTCAACTCAAATAACTTCCAGAGACAGACCATATTAACATTTCTGCGTCAAAAATGAAACACATGCTATAAAGCAGTCAGAAACAAATAAGAGACAGCAGAAACACAAAGTGCTTTCTCATTTGGGAAGTGGCTGTGTCAAGCTAGAGCTATTTCTCTGAAATAGTAGTTCACTACAAGCAACTCACAAAAAGTACCTAACTACACTGAAGCTACTAAGAACTAGGGCTGACCTCGACTAAAGATTTTTCTGGTCGATTAATAGTCGTTAATTTTAAGCATTAGTCGACTATTAGTCGCACCTTTATTAATAAATCATATAAATCATAATAATGAGCCTTTAATTGCCTACATAGCCTAATAAGCACTCAAGCCCACACATAAAAGGCTTGCCACAGCAAACCGGCAAATATAATAC